TCTCTGCTGCTGGTAATGAGATTTCCTCCAGCGTCGGGAAGGGAAAGACTGGCGCGGTCGGAGCATGTTCTGCTAAATTGAAAAGCGGCGCTGGATGTGCTCCCCCCACTTACTGTGAACCCAGAAGCGAGCGTGGCAGAATGCAAACAAGAACACCTCTGACGGCCCATGGGCCAAACGTTAGGCTTCTGCAGCCACATTACGCTTAATTCATTTCTAATCCTTGTTAAAGAACGCGCTGCCGATCAGGCTCTTTCAACACCCTAAAGTTGGATTTGTTTCATTAAAGAAAATAGAGAAGAAAGCTTAAAGTGGGAATTGAATGCTTTTGCAACCCATTTCAGGGTGGGAAATGATAATAAAGCGAAGAAGGCAGTGCTGTTAGGCTGAATTAAACATTTCTGAATTTAAAATAAGGTGACAAGATGCAGCATGCTAGTTTGAATTTGAACACATAAGAAAGTATAAACAAAAGGATTTGAAATTCAGTCACTGTTTTGGAAGAAATATGTAAGCTTTATAGGTAGATATATAATAGTGGAATGACAGATCTTAAACCTTAAAATGCTTGGTTGAGAGTACACTGTGTTTTGTGTGTTAATTACCAGTCTGCATATTGTGTGATTCATTTATTTACGGTGGCAAACTGTATTATGGGACATTAACCTAATCTGTGTTGACTGTGTGATCTGCTGCAGTTCAAATTAAGCATCAGAATGGAAAGGAAAGGTGATATAAGTGACTATGAACTTGGCATTGGTTTTGGTACCAGACGGGCTGGTCTGATTATTTCAGAAATTGTTGATCTACTGGGATTGTCACACACAACCATTTCTAGGGTTTCAGAGAATGGTCTGAAAGAGATAAATCATCCAGTGAGCGGCAAATCTGTGGGCACAAATGCCTTGCTGATGCCAGAGGTCAGAGGAGAAGAAGAGCTGATGGAAAGGAAACAGTAACTCAAAAAGCCACCCTACATTCGGAAGAGCATCTCTGAATGCACAACATGTCCAACCATGAGGCAGATGAGCTACAGCAGCAGAAGACCAGATTGCCACTCCTGTCAGCTAAGAACTGAAAACTGAGCCTACAAATGGCAAAGCCTCACCAAAATTGGACAATAAAAGATTGGAAAAACGTTGCCTGGTCTGATGAGTCTTGATTTCTGCTGCAACATTCGGATGGTAGTATCCGAATTTGGAGTCAACAATATGAAAGCATGGATTTTTATCAATGGTTCAAGCTGATGCTGGTGGTGATGGTGTGGGGGATATTTTCTTCATTTTCTTCATTAGTACCAATTGAGAATGGTGTTGTTGCCACAGCCTTCCTGAGTATTGTTGCTGACCATGTCCATCTCTTTATGACCACAGTGTGCTAATCTTCTTATGGCTACTTCCAGCAGGATAATGCACCATGTCATAAAGCATCTCAGACTGCTTTCTTAAACATAAAAATGAGTTCACTGTACTCAGATGGCCTCCACAGTAACCAGATCTCGATCCAATAGAGTACTTTTGGAATGTGGTGGAACGAGAGATTCACATGGATGTGCAGACAACAAATCTGGAGCAACTGCCTGATGCTGTCATGTTAATATAGACCAAACCTCAGAGGAATAGTTGAGCACCTTGTTGAATCTATGCCAAGAAGGATTAAGGCAGTTCTGAGGGCAAAAATGGATCCAACCCGGTACTAGTAAGGTGTACCTAATAAATACCTAATAATGGCTGGTGAGTGTAATTTTTAAGATCACTTTTCTCTTACACAATAGTCTATGTACTTGTGAGGGAAACCAGAGCACTCAGAGGAAACCCATGCAAATGCAGAGAGAACATGCAAACTTCACAAAGAAATGCCAACTGACCAATCAGAGGCTTGAACCAGCAAACCAGTTGGCATTTCTGTATGTCCAAAGACATGCAGTACAGGTGAATTGGGTAAGCTAAATTAGCCGTAGTGTATGTGTGTGAAAAAGTGTGTATGGATGCTTCCCAATGATGGGTTGCAACTGGAAGGGCATCCGCTGCGTAAAAAAGAAAATCAATAATATAATATAATATAATATAATATAATATAATATAATATAATATAATATAATATAATATAATACAATATAATATAATATAATATAATATAATATAATAAAGTTTTTGATTCCTAATGTAAATTTCCTAAAAAGTATATTGTACAATTCCACTGTCAAATTGTGTGGCAAATTAAATTCTTAAAATAAGGGAGAAAATTTAGAATTTTGGAAAGTCAAAATAAGACAGGATTTTATGATTTGGGAATTATAATTTGCCAACTTTATGACACAGCAAATTTTTAGGTTTAGGTTGCATTTATTTCATGACCAACATAGTAAAAGGTATACTAAAATAATAATAATAATAATAATAATAATAATAATAATAGAAATTAATAATAATAATAATAGTAACAACAATAACAAAACAAAAAAGAATATAAGTAATTTTAAATAAAATAAAAAGTTAAAACAAAACAAAACAAAACAAATAAAAAATAAAAATAAAAGGTAAAAATAAAATAAAATAAAATGCAAAAATTAAATTAAATTAAATTAAATTAAATTAAATTAAATTAAATTAAATTAAATTAAATTAAATTAAATTAAATTAAATTAAAAAATAAATTAAAATGTACTAGCCCCAAACCTTTAAACAATACTGTACACTTA